AGATCATATACATGGTAAATGCTCTAGACTTCCTCTTAAGAATAACACCGAGCTACTGGAGTGTAATGTGATCAGGATTTGTTTTAGATAGATCTGATAAACTGATGCAGGACAAGACTGGCTACAAAGAGGCAACTCTAGAAATCCTGGTATGGGAATGAAGATGCCCTGAACTTTTAGACATCTGGATACCATTTTCCTTTCATTTGGTTTTTCTCTTACTCCTTGGGCTGTTACTTTTCTTTCTTCCTTGTAGTGACTCCTGACCTCCTCTACATCTGAATGTTAATGTGCATCAGGGTTCCATCCCCAGGTCTTTTCTCTTCTCTCTTCAACCATTATCTAGTGATCTCATCCAACCTAAGGGCTTTAAATATCATCCAGACACTGACAAGTCCCAAATTTATGGTACCAGCCCACATAGTTCTCTGACTTCTAGACTCTCTGGCCAATGTCAACTGTCTACTGAACCTCTCCATTTAGATGTTTAATAGGTATCTCAAACTTAGCATTTACAACACGGAACTCCTGATTCTCCCTCCGGTTTTGCTATGCCAAGTTTTCCTCATACCAGTAATGGCCAACTCCATTCTTCCAGTTGCATAGCCAAAATTTTGGAATTATCCATAATGTTTTTCTTTCTCTTGTACTCTACACCCAAAACATCAGAAAATCCTTTTGACTCTGCTGTCAAAAGACATCCAGAATGTGACCCATTTTTACAATTCCTCTTGCTACATAGCTGGCTCAAGCCACAATCATCTTAAAGTTAGATTAAGAGCCTAGGTATTGTAACAGATTATTGTTACAATAGGTCATTGTGACAGATCTCCTTGCTTCTGCCCTGGTTCCTTATAGGTTTACACTCAACATAGCAGTTAAGAGTTTATCCTTGAATATATTAGGTCATGTCACTCTGAATAAAAACCCTGAATGGTTTCCCAACTTCCTCAGAGTGAAAGTCAAATTCCTTATAGTAGTCTCTAACGAACTCAAACTATAACAAAACAAAGTCTTCTTCCCTCATCTCGCTTCTCTGACCTTAGCTATTACTATTCTCCACTTCTCATTCTGTTGCCGACATCCTGGTCTCCTTGCTGGCCCTTAGAGACTCCAACCAAACTCCTACCTCATAGCATTTGTGTCCTGCTGTTTCCTTTGCCTTGACTGCTCATACCGCATCTACCCAGAGTGTTTGTTTCCTTGTTTTTCTCCCCTCAGGTCTATTCTCAAACATTTTTTATTTTATTTTGTTTTGTTTTATTTTTGAGGCAGAGTCTTACTCTGTCACCCAAGCTGGAGTGCAGTGGCATAATCTCAGCTCACTGCAACCTCCACCTCCCAGGTTCAAGTGATTCTCTTGCCTCAGCCTCCCGAGTAGTTGGGATTACAGGTGCACGCCATCACACCTGGCTAAATTTTGTATTTTGAGCAGAGATGAGGTTTCATCACATTGACCAGGCTGGTCTCCAACTCCTCACCTCAAGTGACCTACCTGTTGAAGTCTCCCAAAATGCTGGGATTACAGGAGTGAATCACCACGTCCGGCTACATAACTTGATTATAGAAACCCCTGAACACTCTACATCAAAAAGCATCACTCACTCTAACCCTGTCAGTGCCCTCCACCCTGCTCTGCTTCTCTTCATAACACTTACCACCACTCAGCACTATGCATTTTCTGGTTTGTTTATTCCTGTCTTTCCTCACTAACATGTGAGCTTGATAGAAGGAGAAACTGTATGTGTTTTGCTCAGTGTTGATTCTCCAACACCCAGAACACCTCCTAGTACAAGGTCAGCACTTAGTAAGCTGCTGAAGGAAGGGATGGGTTTGAGCAGAGTGGAGATGGAGATCAGCGGATGAACTTGAGATCTAGTAGGCGGCAGAATAGTCAGATTGTGATGAATTGTTGGGTATTGAGCAGGAAAAGGGAGGTGAAGGAAATAAGAGCACTCTAGGAGGCTCTCCAAGTTTCTGCCCTATACACAGAGTTGATGGTATACTGTTCCCTGAAATAGAGAAGATGGGAAAAGGATTTGATTAAGGACAGGGACAGAAAAGGATAATTTCAACTTTGAGGAAGTTGAGATTAAGGTTATTAGGACATATTCAACTGAAGATATCCTAGAGGTAGCTGGCTCTGGAACTATTAACTGAGTTTGTGTTGAGCACTCATCTCTGTTAGGTACAAAACTGCATGGAAAGGAGATGAAGAGAGACTGCATAGTGTGGAGTTATCTTCCAGAGAAAAGCTAAATCCTTTTCACCCCTTCAGGTGAACTTACCAAACCAGCTGCTACTCAGAAGCTCACAGCCTTTCAGAAAAAGGCATTCTCTAAGACTCCAAAGAGTCTTATTGTCTCAACGCAACCATTATTCAGTTTGATTCTGGGGGTGCGTGTTTGCCATTCAGAACCTACCATATTTTACTGCACCTCCTGACATTGTTACACAACATTTATTGAAAGCACATTTGATGGTAATGAAGTTTCTATTAACTATGATTAAATCTCATAAAGCACCTGAAGATAATTTAAGATGTGCAGAAGCAGAAAATGAAACATTCGGTTTAGTACATTAGGAAACGTAATTGATTAAATTATCTCATTTACAATAAGTGCTTTCATGAGCTATGCAGTGCACATATTTTCCCCAGTTTGTCATTATGATTTGCCAACAGATATCTTAAGACTCCACTTTCTTTTTACACCTCCCTGCAACTCTGAGCTTGTGCCTCTGCCCGTCTGCTCATGGAGCACTCTGTGCAGAGCTCTGAGTGATGTTTCCTATCTGCCAGGCCTTATGGAAGATCATGTGTATGGCTATATATAGGCACAGGTTGTTTCTCAATTAGCTTCATAATTGACTTTGATTTTGCATCAGTGATGATTCATGTAGTCTCACACTAAGCCTCTCTTTCACTGAACAACTGCAGCCTGAATTTCTATAATGCACTTCTAACCATGCAGCTTACAGAACCCTGATCAGATTCCTCTGGGAGCCTTTTGCAATCACATTGATTCTCTAAGGTCTTATTTTTAGAGAAATCACAAATTAAACAGTTTAAGCGATTCCATTGCAGTATCCAGCAATTAAGCATGGTGCTCAGGAGCGAGAACCCCAAGCAAAAACTAATTCTGAAGTCCCTAAGGACTAGAAATAGCTTCTGTGGGGTTTATGGCTGGAAGTACAGATGTAACCAAATTAGAATGGCACAAGACTCACAAACTAAGCGTGAAATTAATTTTAAAAACACATACATGCATTTCTAAGTAACTGTCACATTGACCACCCCATGGATACCTATGATCTTTTTTGTGCTATATAACAGAATCAGTGGACAGCATGCACCATGTGGCCGGGAGGAAGGTAACAGTCCACTTACTCCACCTGTCATCCTGAGGGTCCTGACACAAGCACAGGGCAAATATTCAGTGATCTGTTTCTTTCTCTTTCCCTCAATTCCCATACACATGAACACACATATACACAGCCAGGTGCCCCCAAACTCAGTCTTCCCATAAATTCAAAATCAAACATGCATGATATCAGAGGACCAATACTTAAGTAGTAATGATTTTTTTTAATGGGCAGCAGACAGCAGGGAAGTAAGTGTAAATGTTTATTTTTGCTGTTTTCCCAAATTCTCAGACTTTGCAAGTAATGATATCTTTTTATCTCCAGTCTTCCTGAAGCCACATAACGAAATAGGAAAAGAATGGCTTTACTGGATTTTTCCCTCATGTCTGTGACCCCTGTCCCAAGGTACCTATTTCTGTCTATCCTCACAGGGTCTTAATTCTCTCAAAGAAGTTAGCTCATAATAGCTATCAACTCTTCCAAGCTCTTTGAATTTTAATACCCTGGGATTTAAAAGATCAAAAGTAATTCAGTTGCTACTAGAATGAGAGATGCTAGACAGGGACATCTTTCACAAGCTTTACAAACCAAACCAGCCAGGCAGTTGTCTAATCTCCTATTAATGACAGCTGTATTAATGTTGCCCCAGTATCTTGAAGTTTCCCTAGTGTCCTTTACATATTTCTGATGTATGAGAATGACTTGGGGAACATATTAACACATAGAGTCTCAGGAGCTCCTCAACCAGGAATTCAAATTTATTTGTTCTGTTCTGAGGTGGTGCATATTTAATTTAACAAGCTCTGGCCACACTCTGAGACTCTGATGTATGTGGATTCTGATCTACCTTTTGAGAAACATTTTTCTAAGACTATGGTTCTCAGCCCCACCTGCACCTTGGAGTCACCTGAGGAGTTTTGAAAAATAGAGATTCCTGGATCCTGAAAACTCTCCACCTTAAATTCTGATAGCCTTGATACAGCCTGGAAACTGGGAATTTTAAAAGGTGTCCAGGTGATACTAAAGAGCATAAGGTCAAATGCCATACTGTTAGCCATTCCAGCCATCTCCTCTCTCCAACTCTACAGGAAGCATAAAGTGAAGACAATGCAAAGGCCTCTCCCATAAGCAAGCCTGAGTACAAGGAGCCTAAGCCAGTACCAACACCCCAGTCCTCAGCTCGTAATTATTTCACCATGGAGTTCTGGGTCCTAATCTGCCCAGCTGCCATGGATTCCACAGGAGGTAAGATGCTAGGTGGAGAGACCTGTAGTCAGGCTTTTGCCTGCTCTCTCAAGGCTGCTCTCAAGAAAGCATGTACTGACAAATATTTATTAATTTTAATGTGATAAATCTCTTCAGAAATAAGAATCCTAGATGACATTTGCAGAGAAATGGACTTATAGGCAGAAAGAATCAAGAGGAGAGATTTACTTTTACTGGGAGGGAGGAGAGGGGTGTGCATATTTCTTTTGGATTTAAACCTCTGATATGTGACTCTGAACTCAATGAGGAGAGGCCTTGAAAGCCCTGGATCTTTCATAGGAACTTCAGTTCTGCTGAGCTCCTAAACAAATACAACAGCAAGGCAGCAAATGTGAAAATAAATTATATTCACAAGAGGAAAAATAACTTACTTTGGGGTTTTATTTCATGAAGAGGTTTTTTATCTAAAAGAAAGAAAGAGAAAAAGAAAGTTGCATTTAATAAATTTACATGGAGCAGATATATTTCCTGTATCACTTTATATCTACCTCTGTAAATAAAACATTTTCTCCATTTTTATGGACAACAGGAATGGCATTGTCCATAGTTTTCTTTTCCATTCTATTTTTTAAAATTTTTTCTCTTTTGAAAAATAAAAAAAAATAATTGTAGAATGATTATCACTTCATCATTTCAAAATTTATTTTGTTGTGGGTTTACTAGCATTTCTCTCTGTTGCGTTTACTAGATTCTTATCAGGATGAGAAGAGCGGTGAGCTTTCAGCCTGTCGCTCTATTATATACAGCCAGAAGCCTGCTCAGGTAAGGGATGCGGTTTCACTCTAGATGACAGAAAAATGAACCAGCGAATAAATATTTAAAGGGATCCTGCCTTGGTATGCAGTGATCACAGCCTGGATAAAAAGTCCCCAACTCTGCCTGTTTATCCATTCTTATCAGGTATGGGTGTGGCATGGTGAACATGTTAGTTTTGTTTTTACAAAACTACTCTTTTTTTTTTTGTTTCGCATCTCATTATCTGCTAAAATCTGTTCCATCTCTCTCGATGGAAAAGTTGTCACTTTATAATCACAGTATTTAGCAGTGCACCCATCAGATAAGGTGGATTAAGAGAAAGGCATTCAGCATGGCCACAGGAGTCCGAACTCAGCTGAGGAATTTTCTCAATGCCCCCAGTGTTCCCCATCCATTGTCTCCTGTCCTGAGACTGGGCCTCTGTGGCTTATTTTGTGTCACACCACTATCCCTCTTCTCCCCATTCCCCCTGCCGTGGTCCATCTCAGGCTCACATAACTCCTCCACAATGCAGGAACCCAAGGTGACTACCCTTCAGAGGCTATGCCAAGATTCTAGAAGATCTGCATGGTGCTTCCTCCTTCTCATTAGTCCTTTCTTAGGGTTTAGATGAGGCATTGTCTGACTACAGGGATCCAGGCTGTTGCTAATCATTCACAGAATCACACAATGGTAGGGGAACCCTATGCAGTCCCCTTCTCTGTTTGCCCGAAGGCGAGCTGCGTGGGGTGAAACTGTCATTTTGGATTATGTTTTTAACTGAAGCAAATCTGGTACAGTACACATTTGAGAATTTAAATATTATCTGACTGACTGCACCATCACCCTTCCCAGGCAGATCAACACAGCTCTATTCTGAGTTCTCCATAGAGTCTGTCTCACCCTAACTCACTCCTGCATTTAACATGGTTTCTACGGAATGCTCTTGCATCATATGAATGCAGTGTGCTATAAATGCAGCTCTAGTGTGTTTTGCCATCTGATTTGTTGTGGAAGTAACTTTCACAAGGTGTGTGTAAATCTCACTCTTGCAAATGGGCCACTATTTTTTTTAAATAGAAAAGCAAAGTGAGATGGTAAAGAGTAATTTCTGGCAAATCTTTCTTTAAAAAGCAAAATCCTTATAAAAGATAATAATTTGTTGATGTTGATAAGATCATAGTCAGATTTTTTTTTACACAGTCAGGTTTCTTAAAACAGAGAACACTTGCATTTCCCTTACTGAACAGATGTGACGGTACTGAGAGCAGGTGGTCCGTACCGAAGTCCAGATGCTAATGCATTCAAGAATCAGAATAAAATGACTTTGGTGGTTTTAAGCTAACCTCAGTTTTTGCTTATTGCACAGTATCTGAAAGCATTTGGCATGGGGCACAGCGAGGCTGGCAGGCCAAGGCTGAGATGTCTGAAAGTGATACATTGCTACAACTACACAAGGAGACATGTAGAACATCTGTTTAGAACTCTGACTGAGCTTAACAGTATTTTCTTCCTTCTAAACCACAGGAACTAAGATTACGCTGGGTGGCAAAATGAAATTCCATTAAAAATACGTGAGATATATAACTGTGCTCCAGAAAAATAAATCTAATACAGTCAGGCTATGAAAAAATGGGAGTAGTAGAGTTCTATTAGGTATAGTTCTGAAAGAATGAATGAACGAATGTGGCTGAAAAACCCAGGTCCATGGACTTGAGACAGAGAAATCAGGCAACAAGAGCACACAGGGCATGAGTGCGGCACTTCTGCCTCTCACCTAGCTCTACAGCCACTTTTATTGGCATTGTGGCTTTAGTAGACCAGGATTAGAACTGGATTTAAACCTTCAGTTGTCTGCATTCTGTGTGACCTCAGTATTCTCACAGTAAAATGGGAATAAAAATTCCCATTAAAGGTTGCCACTGATGATTCAGCATAACTGGAAATCCATGCAGCATAGAGCTAGCACGTTTGGCATCAATAAAGGTAACAATCAACAGCTAATGACACAATTTCAACCTGTTATGATTATCATGATCATCATCAGTAAAAAAAAAAAAAAAAAAAAAAGGCCTATTTGTGCTGCTGCTAAGAGAGAAGTCACAACTCCAAATCAGAAATTCTAGTGGATTTTGGGGATTCCTGAATGCACGTTAAAACTTGTATCTACTTCTGGCCTCTGCTATTATGAGACCAACGTAAATCAAAACTTCAGTTTCCTGATATGTTAAAAATTAGAGCAGGGGCCAGAATGCAGGCTCCCTTGCCTTCACCCACTATAAATCTGCAGACCAGCAAACAAAGACACTATACAGAGTAAAAATTATTCAAACGGCCGCTTCTCTACAGTGGGACTTGTTATTGCTAGGGTCCAGCATGTCTTGTGCATCAGCGTGTATCCTCCTATGGAAATGGCTGGAAATCGCTGGTGCCAAAGAAGGTCCCCTGGCATCAGCATCAAAATTGGATTCTGCTATGTTTTGTGAAATAACTGTACCTTGACAGGAATCTGCTAACATAGAGCTTTTTCCCAAAAAGAAATACCTGTTTGAGATTGTTCTACAATGAGTACAAGAGAGGGCTACCCACTGACTTCACTAGCTTTGCAAGAAGTACCCACTCTATGATCTTTTATTCTGTTTGCATAATTATTTTCTCACAAGGCTCAGGGCCATGGAACAACTTGGCCTTGATCAACTACATTCTCTCTGCTTTAATTTTACCTCTCTCCAAAGGCCAAGTTCAAATGACCATTAGTAAATTAATCCATTAGAGCCATGGTTCTTGGTGATAGTGTTGGCTTAGTGGTGTTGGCTGCATATTAGAATCACCTAGGGAGCTTTTTAAACAAATACTCATAGCTGGGCCCCACTCCAAGAGATCTTGATTATTTGAGGTTTGGGTTTTTGTGATCACGATCACCTTCGGGCAACACATCTGGGATCTGCGTGGTCAATTTTAGTTAGTCTCTGCCTCCCTAAGAGGTCTTGAGGTAGCTATGGTAAATAAATGGTCCCAGAAGGGTCTCTCCTATATCTTGCAGGTGAGAGATGTTGCAATTTTGAGCCAATGGAAGCTGAGCTGTAGTTTAGGAGAAAATCATAGCAGTTTTCCCAGGGTCTAACATATAGTGATTGGTACCTTCTAAGTAAATTGGAAATTGATGATAAATTATTATAACTCAGTCTTATAATCTTTTTGTGTATTTATAAGTTAAAAATGCAAACATTTTTAAGTGTTTTAAATTGTCACATTTTATTTCACTTTTTTCATTTATTTCATTTTTATACTCACACAGTTACTTAGTTGTGCATCCAAAATAATATATATATAAATAATATATATATGTGTGTGTGTATATATAGATAGATAATCACAAAGTGAAGAAAGCATAATTCCAGCACCAAGGGATAACCACTGTTAAGTTATATATACAAACCTAGGTCTTTATCCCCTATGATTTTATAGATATGAAACTATATAAAATTGCCAGTGATTTATCATTTTTACCTATACAAATGCAGAATTGTCTTTTATGTATTGTTCCGCAATCTGCTTTTGTCACTTAGTACTGTAAGGCAGCTATTGCTTTGTGTCTGCCTGTGTGTGTATGAGGGGGGAGGAATATATCTATATGATGGAGAAAGAGAACAATCTACCTTTTATTTTTGGTGATGATTCATTTCTTTTTCTCCTTTAATTTCTTGCTTCCTTTTTTATATTCCATGCTCCTGAACCATTTCCATGGTATCTATTGTTCTTAGCAGCTATTTATAACATCATCCCTACACATCCAGCCTCTACTAGAGAACAAATGTGGTCAGTTGCATGCAGCCCACCTCTCTGGGACTACAGACAGCAGGCCCTTTGTGGGGAGATGGCACATGTGGACAGAAGGGTTCATCTCCAACCATAGAGTGAGGGCGGCAGACAGAGGGCTGCTCCTCAAAAGCTGTAGCTCGTGATTACTTGGAACCTGCTCCCAATGGTTTTGAATACTGCACAGATATGTTCAATACCAGGGCCTATGTCATTTTTAAGATTCAGTTAGTAGGGTTGCTTAAATGTAGACTAAACACCCAATGGGGCAGCAACTCCCTTCCCAGCAGCAATTCAAATACATCATTAGAGTCAATGTTTACCATTCTTTCATTTCACTAGATTAGTCATATCCTGTATTTTTACCTCCAAAGACCACTTTAATTATTTTGTTTGTCATAAATCATATGCTTTGAAACCTTTTCCACCCCCAAACAGGTATGTGTTAACTGTTTTGTATTTGAATTTACTCTTCACATTCTTTGTAATCTTAAATGATTTAGGAGTTGATTCTGAAATCTGTGGAATAGTCTGCCTTTTCTCTCTATTCTCTGGCTTATTTCCTTATTTGTTGCAATGATTCTCTAGTATTAGCGTGAAAGAATCTGCCACGACTCCACACTGCCTCCAAGTCATGGTCAACTGCTCTGCCTACCTTTGTGGTCTTGCATTACTTGTCCCACCATGCCAGATACGAATTGGTTTCTGGAGCACCTCAGTACAAATCCATGTACTAGTCTGATACATCTATTAACTCTCTCCAAGGTCAACTCAAAGCTTTAGTCCAGGCTGTTGCCTCACCTTGGGAAGCCCTTCCGTCTTCAAGGCTCTCACAGAAAAGTTTCCTGAC